TGGTGAACAAACAACTTTCACAGCATTGGCTTTTCCACGTGAAGGTGTACAAATAAGGCGTAACAGACACACACACACACGTTCACAAATCAATTACAGTTCATCCTGACGCCGTTCTCAGCCATTATAATGTTAACAGGCGGGTTCGGAATGTACAAATAATAATAAAAAAAAACAAAAAGGCCGACCGTGAGGTGGAGAGACAATGTCACACAGTAGGAGAGTAAGAGCGGCGACATCAAAAAGAACTTTGAGAGTTACAAAAGCCTAATGAGCACAGCAGTTGTTTTCACACACTCATGCACTGCCGTTAAGTACACACACTGCACACAGGGAGGAGAAAACAAATAGTTTTATATAAACTACAAAAGATTCCAAATAATTCTGTCTTTAATCTGCCTCCATCTGTCAGTGATGACTCACCCAAACATGAGGGCTCACACAGTGATGATGGAGGTTAGGAAGAAGAAGGTAAAAACACAGAACTGCTTCAGCCAATGTCACAGCCTTTCCCCTCTTACCTGAGTTTTTTGTTTTGTTTTGTTTACCTTCAGTTTTAGCAAATGTCTAATCAATTTCAGTAAGCTACATTTAAGCTTTCTTTCTGGTAAAATTTCAAGTAACAGTTGTGATCATTTATTTTTTCTAACTTTTTATAATGTAAACATTACTTCATACTATATGCTTTTTACCACGTGTTGAAGTCTTCTGCTGACATTAGGGGCTTTACCCTCTTTTCAAGAATCAAAATAAAACTTCTGTATGGCTCGGTACCAAATGATCCATAGCCCAGTACTGGCCCCCAGCCCGCCTGTTGGGAAACCATGTTTAAGTTTTAGTTTAATTCTGTGCTACGGCTAAACTTTTTTGCTTCAATATTGTTGCTTTTTCTCAGTGTTTTTGACTTCATACCTTTGATTAGATTCCATTACTACATACACACAAACAGGTTTATCACCATGGATACTGAGAAAATATTACAAACAAGTTGTTAGTGAGTGAATACCGTCAACAAAAGCTGAAGTTGCGCACATGTTAAATTGTTAATTTTCCAATTGTAGATGATGACGTTGACGTTGACAGTAGGAGCAGCGCTGTGACTCACTGAATGATGTGACTGTACAAAGCTGTGCTTTCTGTTTGCTTTGTCTCCTTTGTTTACTTCCAATAACATGAAGTCCAGGCCGTTTCCACAGTGCCTGTAGGCCCCAGGGTGACAGTGACGGTTAATAAGTCGACCTGTGATGCTTCATCTGTACCTAATGTGTTTCCCCGCCTCACAGGAGGCTTAACTGAGCTTAACCTGAGCTGACTGCTGGTTTTAAAAAAGAGAAAACATAATTAAAAGACATAAAAACCAATGCCAGAAACTGGAGAGGGTTGGCAGTGGAAGACTTTGCCACATTCAACGCAGCACCGAAGGCTTTGGCCATATTATCTATGACTCCAAAATGAAAGCACTCTGTGAGTCAGTCAGTGTTAACAGGTCGGAGAATCTCTCCTTCCCTTATGGTTTTGGGTAAGTGCTACTAATAGAAATTAAAAAATAGAGCGGGGATTACTGTTAAGATAAGAAGCCAATAAAAAGCCAAAACAATGCCCTGTCATTCACAAGATGATGTGAATGCGATTGTGATGATTTTGGAGCCACAAACCTCCAGGTGGGTTTGTGTTTGACCAATCACATTTGAGCAGGCTGTGGCGGCCTGCAGGTAAACTGTTCATGTGGAGAGCAAGAAAAGATCATATTGACATAACGAACCTCCAGCCATGAGGTTTTTTTTTTTTTTTTTTTGCGTATTCAGAGGTAGACAGTTAAACAATCACTAGTTTCATTGGACAATGTTGCTTAGTAGACTATCTACTCATGATGTTCTCAAATATTTGTCCCTTCTCCCTCAGGTATTTTTTTAGCTGTGCGACATTCCTAATTTCTTCTAACACGTGCAGAAGAGGAAGAGTGACTTTAGATTGTACATGTTAGTGTGGCAGTAATTACACACCCCCACAGGATAAGTGTGACAATGGTATGGTTTTTAGCATTAGTATCGGGGTATCACTGTATTGTGGTCAAACCGTTTTTTATTGAAACTCCTTCAGGGAGTGTAAACCTACAGCCCAGTGAGAATACTAAGAAAAACTAAATCCATGTTAATTTATACACAAAAAAAGAAAGAAAAATAGACTCAATGGAATTTTCTTCAGGGAGAGTAGCCATGGTCCTTCAGTGTCCCAAATCTGATGTTAAGACTTTAAGATTGTGATAGCATTTTGACTGCTAACACTCATTTATAGTAAGTCTCATGCTCAGGTGCATTGGAGTGGGGGGGGGGGGGGGGGGACTGAAGGGCAAGAAATTAGTTTTGAAACTGGCAACTTTCTTAAAACTTGTCGCTTGTTGTACATCTACAAACCAGTAAATGGCCCTTGTCGCCAGAGGCAGTTGTGAAACTTGGTGCTGTTTGCTACCAGTCCATGCACAGTTTACCTGGAGGACAGTGACTTAATGTACAGTGGTAGAAAACATGTAACTTCAGCTTGACAAAAAAAAATCCAGCAAAGAAAAAGAAGTTCAAGTCAGGAGTCAAGTCGTAAAAATGAAGTGATGCTAAATAAAGGTGGGGAGTTATGAATACAACCCATACAAGTTGCCCAGGGGCAGTTCTCGACTACGTATGTATAAGTTTGTGATATTTGTTCAGTTATATATTTTTTGGTCTTCGTCAGTTATCGTCAGTTAGGGACAGAGTGAGACAGGTAAATGTGCACAGTAAAACAAAGCACAGAGGTCCGTCCCTAAGGCTGCAGCAACTACATTTACCCCCCCCCACCCCCCCCCCCCAGCCCCCCCAAAGGCACACGTTAACTGCTGTGGCTGGAGACCCTCTCTTTGGTCTCACACCTACGTCCTCTGTCAGACAGATGGGACTCAGTGGTTTCCTCCAGTGGAGCTCAAGAAATAGTATACCTCAGCCACACAGTGTGTGTGTGTGTCTGTGTGTGTGTGTTGTCTGTATTGGATAAAGATCACTGTTACTTGGGGTCATGTCAGGATTGGATATCCACGAGAAGTTGCTTCTCAGGCGTGAGATAAAAACGAATACGAGACGTTATCCAGTCACATCATCATGAACAGACGACCAAAAATTAACCTTTGAAAAATGTTATGTTTTGTTTGTTGTCTTTATAGTAATTTCGCACACGTAGGAAGAGACAGGGATTCGGTCCCTTTAGAAACCCTGCACATCATTAACTAGATCTCACTGCTGTAAAAGAGTTCCTCCTGACAAATTTTCTAAGAAATGTAAAATATAAATTCAGTCATTAAGAAATAAAACAACAATAAACACCGTGGCTTTAAATGTTCATATCTGATACATTTCCTTTCGTATCTCATTGCACAAACTCTGTGCTGGACGTGTGAAAAGACAATGGTAGACATTGTTCAGAGCTCAAACTGAAAAAAAAGTGGCCTCCACTGTTTGAAGGAGTTTCACCCGAGCCTGACAGATAGCCTTGACCTCTGAACTTTGGCCTCCCAACACCTCGTGTGCCCTAGGGTCAGGAGCAGTTAGACAGAGAAGACAACTCAGAGTTGGCCAAAATGCAGTTAACCCTCCTCATTCACCTGCAGGGCGGCTAAGACTATTGTTCTCTGTCCTTTTGATATTATAGTCCTGGAACATGGGGGGAGAAATAAAAATAATAATAGATTCAATCAATACTTTACTATTGTGTTTAAACTGAAAAATGTAACTCGTGATTATATATTTATTAACACCTCAGAATCGTGGATAAAATATTGCACTATGCCTCTGCATTACAAAACAGAAAATAAGATGCTACAATATCTGATGAAAAATGTGTCAACAACAATTTTATGTCCTCGTACCTAAACACTTTGCCGACATGAACTCTGCGGAGACTCGTTATCTACTTATTTACCTCAGAAAATTATTGTCCTTTACAACAAAAATGATGCAACTTGTGGTAAAACCCAAAAGTCAGAGTCATGGAGGAACTTTGTGTGGGACTTTATTCACTGCACCCAAAATACTGAGCAAAAGTGTTAGGCAGGTCGAGGCATCGACCATCGACTCCTCACCTGCCTAAAACTTCTGAACATTAGCGCATGTTTCAAAGAAGAAGAAAAACATTGAATGCCACGTTATTAGGGTCAGATCATTTTCCAAGCTGTCACTGAAGAAAAGAGTCCCAGTCAGAGGCAGTGACCTTACATTGTGTTTTCAGAGTACAGACCCTCAGTGACATGTTATCCTTTATCTGCTACACCCCTCAGAACTCCTGGACCCTCTCACCTGTCCTGACACTCTCTATTCTCTGCCTACGTAACCAAAGCCCTCCACGGTAACCTCTTACTTCCTAAGCTCACCCCCCTCCAACCCTATACCACCTTGACGTCTCTTCATCATTTTTCTCTTTCATCACTGTGATCTCCTCTATTCTCCCCCTTTTCTCTGCCTCTCTGCAGCTCCCTTTGTCTCCCCCACTCCTCCTCATTTCTCCTCTCAATCTCCAGTGCACTGGTCTCTGTAAGTGTCATCAACTGCTCTGCTCTGACCTCAGGGCTGAGCCCAAGGTTCAAAGCGAATGCCTTTCGAATGTCAAACCGATCGGAAGTATTGGAATTCTGAGGAGCTCAAGTTGTCTGTTACCTCCTTAAACCTCAAAATGCCTCTCTTTCTCTTTAACTCCTTATCGTTTTTTTCTCCTTATGTCTTTATCTCCTTATCCATCCACCTTGCATATCTGTCCTGCAGGGAACGTCTAGGTTTAGTTTAGTAAGATTTCCCACACAGTCGGACCACCAGGGTGGAAATAATAAAAAAAAAGTTTGAAGAAACATTTCAGTTTTTGACCAAACGTCACTTTACAAACAAGTCCAAAAAAAAAAAAGATGTCCAGATGAAAATGTAGCTGTTGAACATAACTCATCAAAAATAATAAGAAGCTTGGCCTTTTATTTTATTTTCATCTATTCTGTCCAAAGAGAGGCGTGCAGTGGTAGGACTCTCGAACTGTCGTCCCTAATTTGGTTTTCTATGTAAATATAATACATTTATAATATAACACATTTCTCCATTATGTCCTTGTTACATGTAATTATTCCAGACTTAGTGTAAAATCTGTCAGATGCACTGAGACAAAAATGCCTTTTGTAAATTTGGTCTGAATGGACTTCATTAAAATAAAGCCTGATTTAATAAGGTTTTATTTTTGTGTCAATAGTAAAAATTCTATAGAAAACCACCACTCATCTTGGGAATGGCAATTCCAATCTTTTTTTTTTTATTTGTTGTATGCTCATACTACGTACAGTTTTGTTTTGTTTTTAGTCGAATTGGACAATCAAACATCTCAGTGCTTTTTAATTGGACCTCTTGTCCTTCACACGGACACTTTCCTGGACAAAACATTCTCCTCTCTGTCTGCAGAGTTGGAGCCGTGGAATTGTCCTGAGAGCGATCGCGTCAGTCGTACATTCACCACGAGTGTTTCACTCTCAAATGAAATAATGGATGGAGACCCTTCATAATTAATGGGGACGCCGCGTGTTAACAAAGCATGTGGAGATAGATTTGAATGAAATATTACTGTCATTACATCTCAATGATTAAAATGGAAAATTGGGGGTCGGGGTCTTTGTCTAGATTCAAAAGGTTACGCAGCTGCAACTGCAACGTCTACATAAAATACACACACAGACCCACACACACAATTACACCTCCAGGCTTGAATGACGGTTGTTAGGTGAAATCACGGTGGATTGTTTTTGTGTTAAATGGCAGGATCAGTTTGTATTTACAAACCTACGTCAATGCTGTAAATGTCACGTCAGAACCAACGCTGACTTTGCCAAGAAGACAATGTAAATAACATTAAGTTTGATTAAAAAAGCTCAGGTCTTTTTTTTACAGTTAGCCCAGCTTCTATGTACGCTGCATGGGCACAGTTACAGTTCATCAGCCCTAGGGCAGCGAACCAGTTCACCACTTAGAAGTGTCTCTGCTTTTTACACTGGGAGCTTAACAGACATGTTCTAACTCCTAACCTTGTGCCTGTGTCGTTTGCTAAGACTTGCACGGTAATTTTTTTCTATATGGTCTAATGGTCAGGTTTTATTGCTTTTACCCAGGCAGCCCAGGTTCGACTCCCGGTTGAAGTGACTGGTAATTGATAATAAATAAAATACAGATAAAAATATTTTTTCAACTAATTTTTGTTCGTTTTGAAATGATAATTAAAAACACCGCACGCCATTTTAAACAACTGCATCCTTTCATGAGTCTTAAATGTTTCTGGGGTCGCCAGAAATCTGTGATGTCAAAAAGGGGTCACAACCCCAAATAGATCGGTCTATGTAGACCTTGAAGGGAGTGCAGCCTGTGGACGAGGAATTCTTCTCTGGTTCCACATTGTACTCTATGTTGCTGCTCAGTTATATGAACGCCATGTTAGCCCTGAAGGCTGATTTAATCTCAGTGTTCAATGACGATGTTTCTTTAACCACATCAACAGGCAGAATCAATAGCTAACGCGTTCACAAACACCATCTACCTGAGGAAACAAACCTCCAACAACTAAACATTCAAAGAAATCCAACAGCAGTGACTTTCAAACAAACCGTATTTTTCCAGTTAAATTCCTCCTTTTTACAGCGCCCTAACATTCCATTCTACACACCCGCGGCTTATCTCATCTATCATTTAGTAAGAAACCAGTCAGATAAATTCGTGCCAACACCTACACAGGTGTCATAGATTAATCAGTTAAACCATAACTGGTGGTCAAGTCTTGGGTATACGACTTTTCTTAGAATGGTGATGTGTTCCATGGAAAGGCGTTCTGGTTGGGTCACACCAGGATTGGCATGTTACCAGTACTAAGAAAGGTGTCAATGGTAAAAAAAAAAAAGAAAAAAAAAAGAACTTACGTGCCTACCATAGCTGCTTCCCCCACAACCATCATAGTGAAGAGTGGAACCGTTTCAGATGTAAACAACAGCGTTTGTCTTTACGGCACATGTCGATGATATTTGAAAAGCCTTGTATTTTCCAAACATTTTTGTGTTGAATTAGTTTACCATGTCATGCCATGTTTAGTAGAAAACAACAACAACAACAACAAAGAAAACAGAGGCACTATTGTTAATTTCATTTTAAGATTTAGCTGAAAAAAGGTGAAAAATATCGATTAGGCCGTAGCAAAAAAAAAAAACAACAACCCTCAAACCAATGCTTTAATTGACAGACTAAAGATAGGCTTTACAGGATCATTGAATCCACAAAGTGCAAATTTAAAAAAACGGATCAAATTAGCTATAACGTACTGGAACTGTTAATCTTTTTTTTTTCTAAATTGTCATATTTAAAAAAGTATCTTGTTAGTCAGTGCTATCTGAATATTTTCCCACCTCTATTTTCTATTTTCCTGGTTTTGAATTTGCCTAAATGGTCAAAATAGAAGCTAACAATGACTCTTTATATATATATAAAAAAAACTGAAAGCTTAGTCGGGAAGTTTGATGTTAGATTAGAGGATTATTTACAGTTCATTTCATAATAATTTTGACCTTTTCATTCAAAGTAAGAACATCTAAGCCTTAGAAACAAAGCTTTTAAAAACTCTTAGAAAAAACGTGTGTATGCAAATATCATGGTCTTTTCAATAGATGCAACAAGCAAATCGACAGTAGGAGTACAAAAGGCAGAACTACAGTACTGGCCTCGTGGGAATGTAGAAAGTGTTTGACTAACAACGAGTCTGACTAGCCTTAAACGCACACATGCCTGTGCTAACAGTCAAACAGCTATGGTTTATGGTACTGTATATACAGTACTGCAATATCCATTTAGTTAAATAAATGTTATGTACGCTGTGTTGAATCAGTGTGTCAATAAAATGCCTGCTCGTAGCTTTCTTTGGAACATTTATATCCACCTGTTGTGACAAACAGGTTCAGCATGTGAACTCACACACGCACTCGTGCAATGGCCCGGCAGTGATTAAATTGAGCAGGATTTTCAACCAGTCACTATCTTAAATCTTCATATACAAAGGACAAAGACGGGCTGTGCGTTCTAGTCCAATTATAGAACACCACCATTATATAGCACAAGTGCTGCTCCACCCGCACTCCCTGTGTGCTTCCTAAAATAGTGTTTAATGAGCGTACGCTGGGGTGCACCCATACTCCCTTCAAATACTTTCCTACTGCTGTTCAGTGTTTTATTCAATGTCAGGAATTATTTTAGCATCACAGACAAAGATGGGAGCAGTTACCGCCTTTTTTAATGAGACCTGTTGAACAAAACTGTGTTCACTTGTTCATCAAAACAGGGAAATCGTAAACAAACTCAAGCAGAAACGCAAAAAATTGGAGACGGCTAACAGTAGCAACCAAATTGCCAAATTAACTTCTCCAGCACGGTCAGAAGGCCCATGGTTTCAGCCATTATTGTTATTGTGCGGCGTTTAGCAGGGTTACACACACACACACACACTTGGCTGCACCTGCGCTTCTGATAAGACATCAGAGCGTTTCAGTTTATCGCTCTACTGAATATTTGGCAGAGAGGAAATGCTTACATAACTGCAGCTTTTACTTAGCATTTACCAGGAGGTCAGGTGACATGATGGTTGAAAAAATGAGAAAAACAAATTATTGACTGCGTGTGATCAACTGCCAAAACACGCACAACAATCAGTGCGATTTCCGACCCTTTTGCTGCTGTCACTCATGACATGGTAAGGGTTCCACGGGAAAATGACCTCAGACATTTGGAGCTGAGCCGCTTTACAGCTGAGGCTTTTTCAGGGCTTTTTTTTTTTTTTTAAAGTTCTGCCCTGATAAAAAAGATCTTTAAATTAGTACATAAAAAATCTTTCGGTGGAGTGGGCGAAGCACTAACTTTTCTTTTAGTAAAGGAGGGGAATGGGTGGAGAAGTCTTCTTCCTCTTCCTCTTCCTCCTACTACTACTAACCGTAATAACACTACTTTGGCTAATTTTTTTTTTTTTCTGGCTTGTACATGGATGTTGTTTTGGTAATCACTAATTTATTGCATATTGTATTATTCTCAGAAAATCTTCTGCTGTTGTTGCCTTTTTGTTTTATTTTCAATGAAGCATTAACTTTTAAGTTTGGACAAGGAGTTTTAAATAATTCAAACACAAAGGCCACAGCAGCTGAAGGTGTTCCTGGGCGTGAGCGACGTCCGTGAGTCAGACTGAGTCAAATGTCATCAACAGATGACTCACTGTAGTTAATTAAATTATATCACACAATTACAAGTGTATGACAGTACTACTGTACATGGCAGTACTGTACGGTAATCTTCAACCATCACGTGCCGTACTGCAACACCGACACAAACACACACATGCATTTTTCAGCTTCAGAAAGGAGGGAATGGCATTTCAAGTTTTAAAGTAACTGATGAATTGTTGTTGTAGTTTTGGTCTGTCTCTCTTACCTTAGACGGCTAAACTTTAAAGTTTTTAAAGCCCAATAAAAACTATAATCTAAAATATTACAAATGAAATAAATTATGACTTTTTATCATGAAGTTCCAAATACAATAGGGCTGATTTCAATTTATATTTGTGTCGCGGTGTCTTTTCTGAACCTCCACAAATGTTCTTGGCTGCAACGGTCTTTGCCACTAGTCAACTCAATGTTTACAGAGTGTGTTTTAGTTGATGCCCAATGGGCTTCACCACAGTGACAACAATACCTGTCCAGCCCCTTTCCCGGGAGCCCCCTCCTACTGTAAAATCACAGTTGTCATTAGTGATGTGCCTACAGCTCAGGTTACGGTGGGCGTGTGGGACTGCAACCGTCTGTAAATATATCTACGGAAATGTGAACAATGCGATCAATTAAATCTACTGCCTGGCTGGGCTGCCGTTAGTTTACCCCATGGTGTGACACAGTGGACGGTAGCAGCAGGGGCAACTCTACCTGGGCAACACCTTTACCTTAAAGTCAGTTCCGCCCGTCTCCACCCAGATGTAGATGGTTGGACACATGGATGATGAATCAAGTAGTTCTTCTGATGGAGTGACAATTGCTGTTCCCTGGACCCTAGATTGAACACATCACATCATACTTGAGAGTTAGAAAGTTATTCACAAATACTAAGCAACATATGTCTAACATTTTTGCCTGTCCGCTACAGCCACCATAGATTTGAATAGAAGTCCTAATGTTGGTGTGATATAAATCAACAGGTGTTTTTTGTGTGTAGAGACTAAGTCCTAATGTTGGTGTGATATAAATCACTATCACACAGACAATCAATTTTGACCGTGACGTGCTGCTGCCACTGCTGTGCCTCGTGGGCAGCCGGTGGATCTCACAGCAGGGGCTACAATAGCTGACCTGCCCCTTTCCTGAAGAGTGTCCCACCATAAAAATCACCATCATTATTTATGGACGGCCTACAGCTCCGTTTACTATCTGATGTTTTTAGTCCAAATACACTGTGAAATCCTGTGAAGACAATGTGGTGATGGCACCATTAAAACCTGGGTGCCAAAGTGTGCTTCACACCAGACGTCACAGTGTGAGACCAAACCTTTCCCCTGGGCCTTTCGGTCCTGGACTTCACATACCTAGCTACCTTATAGGATTTAAGGAGAGCTGCTGGGATAAACTAGACGGAAAATCCTCAGATATCTTGTTGCATAACTTCTTGGCCTGGTGCTTGGTTCAGAAGGATCCAGAAATAACTTCTAAATACCATTTTACCCAGGGCTAAATAATCTGGCAAGAAGATGAAGAATCAAGAAGAAGGAATACAAGTTGAGGTTTAAGATCAGTTACTAGTCCAATCGACGTTTTTGAAGCCATTATACGCTAAGTATATTTGCAAAAACTGGAATGGACCTTTTGGAAAAGAAGACGAAAAACACCTTAAATTATCATAAAGTCACTTTTGGCCCATGACCCACCATTTGGAAAACTACAATTGAACTTGACCTGTTCTATCCTTTACCTAATGGTCAATAGCACATTCACAGATACTGCTAAAAATATTACGTAACACTATTACCACCCTCGACTAATGTCAAGCCTCAACCCCCCCAACATATACATTTATTTCTGTGTTTTTTTTTTTATACTATTTCTTTTTTGTCTAAGTGCCTTTAAATCAAGTTGTTTTCCCCCAAATGTTGAAACTACTGATGATGTATAAATGTGCACTTTAAGTGACAACATATACATTTATTTCTGTGGGTTTTTTTTATACTATTTCTTTTTTGTCTAAGTGCCTTTAAATCAAGTTGTTTTATTTTTCTTTCCCATCGTCTAACTGCCTTGTTTGCCTTGCTTTTGTGATTAAAAAAAAACAATACGTTTCGTCGTTTGACTATGTCAGAAATGTGTGTTTGTGTACATGCCAGAACCTGCACTGGCATGTCTGTGTGTGTCTATCCGTGTGTGTGTGTCTGTGGTTCACGTGAGCTTGGCGTCCATCCGTCACCTGTTGCCCTGACTGTCTCCTGCTCTGGGAGAGGCCTCTCACTGAGGAATGCCTGTTGCCATTTAAGCTCCATTACTACCTGCTGCTGCCCCATTCTCCCTGCCCTCTATTGCCTGGGGTTCGTATTGGATAAGAGCCGTAAAGCCCCACGTTTCATGGGGCAGGGTTGAGTGTAATTGGAGGGAGGCAGGCCCCTCATTCCCAGCCCGGTGGGGGGCTACAATCACAGGCTTGCCTTAGCCTTTGGGCCTCCCCACCAGGCACTAAAGAGAGTCTAAAGAGGGCACTGCAGGGGATGATATCAAACACCTCCAGAGCCCCGCAAACAACACTGCAGGAGAGGGAACACACACACACACACACACACAGCCATTTATTGCAATAAACAACTATTTATTGCACTGAAGAGAGCATTGTGCTCAGTGAAGTCGCCATGCAAAAAGCTTGGTTTTGGAAATTACCCCCACTCCACCCCCCCATTCATCCTTGAATTTTCTTCTTTTGTTGTTTGTTTACATTGTTGCTGTTGAATGATAATGATTTAAAAGTAAATTCAGAAGCACGTTAAAAGAACCTTCTGTGTTCTATTTATTTCTGTGTTCTGAAGTGTTAAGTTAAAAGTGTTTAATTACAGTGTTTTGATTTAAAGACATTACTATCGAACTTTATACTTTCTTCTAAAATACTGAAACTATTTGCTCCTCTCTGCAGCTGTGGGTCACTCTGAGTTTATTTGTCGATGTTTTGTTGTCAACAGTGTCTAGAGATGCTTCTAAAAAAGTTAAATATCATCCCTACTCTCCCTGATGTCTGGATTATAATCCCTAGTGCTACACTGACATTTTTAACACCTCTTTGGCTGTTGGTGTTTCTCCTATTTATGGAGTAAAATGCAAATACTCAGTGCATAATTTGTTTAACCCTTCTGTTGTCCTCCGCGTTTGGTACACGCCCAGCGTCCTCGCAACGGCTTCGCATCTTGTCCCAGAATCACAGTACGGGGAAAAATTGGCACAAGCCGTGCAGCACACGCAAACACACACGCAAACACACGCAAACACAAAGGCATATTATCAGCCACCGGGTCACCTACACCCAAAACACAACACGATCCAAGGAAAAGTGATCTCTACAAAGAGACAAACTCAAAGGTTCAGGTTTAATCTCGGCCAGATCGTGACTGAAGCCTTAAACTTTTCCCCTCTGCATTTTCACACATAAGACGACTGTTAACAGAGTCAAAAAAAACAAAAAACAGAAGAGGCCACGACTCAGGATGTGTCGGGGAACTTGTCGAAAGAGAAGAAAGACGGTGCAAAATCCACAGCTAACCCTGGCAGTAATCTTTCATGCTGGAATCAAGCTGTGTAAAGAAGAGCTAAAGTAACACTGACATTACAAGAGGAACAATGTACAGTACATGGTGTCAGTGAGAGAGGGCAGGTTCCTGCTGTGCCTTAGCCTTTGGGCCTCCCCACCAGGCACTAAAGAGAGTCTAAAGAGGGCACTGCAGGGGATGATATCAAACACCTCCAGAGCCCCGCAAACAACACTGCAGGAGAGGGAACACACACACACACACACACACAGCCATTTATTGCAATAAACAACTATTTATTGCACTGAAGAGAGCATTGTGCTCAGTGAAGTCGCCATGCAAAAAGCTTGGTTTTGGAAATTACCCCCACTCCACCCCCCCATTCATCCTTGAATTTTCTTCTTTTGTTGTTTGTTTACATTGTTGCTGTTGAATGATAATGATTTAAAAGTAAATTCAGAAGCACGTTAAAAGAACCTTCTGTGTTCTATTTATTTCTGTGTTCTGAAGTGTTAAGTTAAAAGTGTTTAATTACAGTGTTTTGATTTAAAGACATTACTATCGAACTTTATACTTTCTTCTAAAATACTGAAAAGTTATGCTCCTCTCTGCAGCTGTGGGTCACTCTGAGTTTATTTGTCGATGTTTTGTTGTCAACAGTGTCTAGAGATGCTTCTAAAAAAGTTAAATATCATCCCTACTCTCCCTGATGTCTGGATTATAATCCCTAGTGCTACACTGACATTTTTAACACCTCTTTGGCTGTTGGTGTTTCTCCTATTTATGGAGTAAAATGCAAATACTCAGTGCATAATTTGTTTAACCCTTCTGTTGTCCTCCGCGTTTGGTACACGCCCAGCGTCCTCGCAACGGCTTCGCATCTTGTCCCAGAATCACAGTACGGGGAAAAATTGGCACAAGCCGTGCAGCACACGCAAACACACACGCAAACACACGCAAACACAAAGGCATATTATCAGCCACCGGCAAAAAACCACCCAGAACACAACACGATCCAAGGAAAAGTGATCTCTACAAAGAGACAAACTCAAAGGTTCAGGTTTAATCTCGGCCAGATCGTGACTGAAGCCTTAAACTTTTCCCCTCTGCATTTCCACACATAAGACGACTGTTAACAGAGTCAAAAAAAACAAAAAACAGAAGAGGCCACGACTCAGGATGTGTCGGGGAACTTGTCGAAAGAGAAGAAAGACGGTGCAAAATCCACAGCTAACCCTGGCAGTAATCTTTCATGCTGGAATCAAGCTGTGTAAAGAAGAGCTAAAGTAACACTGACATTACAACAGGAACAATGTACAGTACATGGTGTCAGTGAGAGAGGG